ATATTTTTCTTCTTGCAACTACTATAGATCTTTTGAGAATCTTTCACTGTCCATTCTTTTATCGACTCTCATATCCTTCCTTATTAAAGATATTAATAGCAAGTAAGTTCATTCTCATATTTGGAATATGTCTGACATCCCTCAAAGTCAATATGTAATCCGTACTAGTTTGCATAACAATATCACCAATCCTAATAATCTACGACATGCTTTTGTTTTTCATCTTGGTGTAACCAAAGGCTCATGCTTTGTAAGTTGTAAACAACTCCCCCATAGAAAAATAATGATATGATGCTCTTATGTCAATTATCAACTTAATGCTGAGATCACCAATATGATTATAATCATTATGTGCACAAATCAAAATAACTAAATCACTATCCGAATTTATTGCTGCAATATTGCCATCATTTGAACTCTTGCCTTTATCATCTTTTCACTTTTACTTCAAGATTTTGTAATATTGCTTTATATAATCTGGTTTATCATAATGAAAATACTTCACTTTATCTTTAGACTTAGATATATGTTTAGAATTATTACGACATTTTAAGTTCTGACCTCTGTCGATATTTTTACCCATGTTCCCTATAACAAGAGCTTGATTCATAGGGTTTAAATCTTTTGCCTTATTTTTTCATTAAATATACTGTCATTTACCATCTCCAACGTCACATTGTAATCAAAAGTTGAATTAAGAACAGTCACAAATAGAGTATTCCTGCTGACAATGAACCCAAAAGAAACATCTTCATTTCATTGTTATAGTAGTCATCAGATTAAATATATCTTAAAAGTCATTCAAGTGCTCTATAATCAATCGTTCATCCCTATATTGTAAAGTTGCAAACTATTTAGCACGCATAACTTTATTTATGCCTATTTTTTTTAATACAATGCTGTCAGTTTTTCTTAAACAATGTGGGCATATATTTCCTACGCTACATGATGGAACACATTGATATCAACCCATTTTCTAATTGTAACAAACGTCTTTCTGCCTAGCTTCTTCCAGTTTTTATTTTTCATAACTGTTGGATAGCTAAACAACTAATACCGGCTCATATAAATCTTTGCAATATAAATGATCCTCCATCCTAGGCTTTCAAATTGAATAATTTGATGTTATCAATTTTATCATGAAACATATATTACATTTTATGATCTTAAACAAAATTTACTTATATCATCGATTATTTCTGTATTGATGCATCAAAATAATCAGTGTTTTAATACCATTTGTTGTGCTTGAAGCGACAAATAAAATAACGTAGAAGCTATATATCATAAAAAACCCACAACAATAAACAATAATTAACTATCCAAAACGTAAAAAAAATAAAACATACCAAGATTTATATAAAAACCCTCCAGTGTAGATGAAAAAAATCATGAACCATAAAAAAATCTCCATTATCAAATAATAGATATACAAAGTTCTTTTCTAGTTAAAACTAAAGCTAATCAATAACTAGAGAGACAATCAGAGAAATCTTACCAAACACGTGACTCAATAAATATATCATGAATTTGTTCTTAGAGAGTTTCAAACCAAATCTTCATCGTTCAGAATATAAAACATTGAATCATAAACTTATTGACAAAATTTTAACTCAATCAGACCACGGATCGACTTCTGTTCAACTAACTCTCATTTTTTTCTTTTCTCTCTGTATTTTTTGCTTCTTTTCTTTTTTTTTTTTCGACGCCACACCACTTTTCTCACCTAACAACCCTCGCACTCTTTTAATATGTAGGGCTTTTATTCCTTGGCCAAAGACAAAAGACTTTGGGCCTTTTAATTGGTAGATACAATGGAGCTAGACCCCACACATTCCTAACATTAAATATGAAATAAATCCGAATACATGAATTACCAAATTTAGCTATAATTATATAATGAAATATAGAAGATTTCATTTGTGCCATGTTTCAAACATTTTGTCAAATTATCTGTAATATTTTCTAATTTTACTTTAAAAAATAAAATAAAAAAAATCAATAGTTAGATAGTCTATTAATAGAGTGATAGATTCTCAATTCCATTGATTAGGCATCAAATATTGGCAGCTTCAAATAGTAAAAAAAATTAAAATAAAATAGCTTAATTAAATGCAATAAAAATTTGACGGATAATTTGTAAATTTAACTAAAATTTGAGAACCAAAATGACCCAAGTGAAAATTGACTATGATTTTAATTTGCAATTGCTCAATATTTATTAAAAAAATTTTTTTGAAGGATTAACACATATTGTAAATGATAAATGCAGGCAATCTTATGGATGGACACCATAAAACTGTTGTTCCTTTTGAAAACCTGCATTAGTTCTAAGTCATTGGTAAAGGGTAAAGCTTATTCACCAGAAAATTAATTATTACTTTAGGCTTACATTAGTTCTAACTCTCAGAATGAAATTGCTACAGATGCTCACTATTCACAATGCAAAAATCTTGAATTTAGCAATGGAGGGAGAGGAAATTTTTTCTGGTGAAAATAGTGAAGAGTGCTGTCTCCGTTTTTTGGAGGGAAGAAATCTTTTACTTTTTTAAGCAACTTAGTTTTTATTGGCTATTGATAGTTACTTATCCTAGTGAAGACTCCAAAATCTTCTTATTATCTCTTCAGATTTAGATAATAAACAGGATTTAATTAATAAATAAAACCACCAGCTAAGTTTTTATCCTCGAGATTGACTATCATGGGTGTATTATATCAAAGAATTCAACATTGAAGCACTTATGCGACTTGGTATCATGAGGAATTATATTTGTTTCTGATTCCAAAAGTTCAGGATACTACTGGAAACACTTTCCGTCTGTTATTGAGTTGTTCAATGACGTAAAACTTGAGCAGTAGAGGTAGAGCATGCATCAAACTCATATGAACATGATTGGAGTTAACAACAACAACAACACATTAAATTTTATAATTCATATTCTGAGGTCATTTGTATGAAAAATCAAATAAAAGCATTAAATTATATTATAATTTGAATTTTTTTGCACCATTAATTTCTATCAATAACTACTATTTTATTTAATTTTAGGCTGTATGACTAGAGTCAGTACTGGAGTAATAATTGCCCAATTTTAGAATCCCGACCGTAATACACATCCATTTCGGCTTTATGAGAATGCAAAGATAGCTTCCTACTTTAAGCCTTAATTATTTCAAAACTATATATGATCAAAGAAGGGTTTGAAGTTAGATGAACAAGGTACGAATAATCAACGAGAACTGATGATGTTCTTCAATAATTAGGCCTTTTCTACTTGGATAACCATTTGATATATATGCCTTTGTATATTGGAAACATTTAAACATTCTCCACAGATAGCTTTATATAAATGATAAAAAATCATAGCAGACTAAAAGCCAAAAAAATCAATGGATAAAATATATAAATAAAAAACCATTTTTGATAACAATTCATTAAAACCTAATGCAAGGAGTAGAATAGAAAGTATGAAAAGTTGCTATATGAAAAAAAAAAAAAAAAAAAAACCTATTGTTAAAACCTGATGCATTAAATTTAAACCAAATTCATGAATCCTGATAAAAATTAAATACAATAAATACAAATAAATTGTTCAAAGAAAACCTTTATAAACACAAATGCAGTTCACCAATTGTTCAAATAAAGCCTTCATTATGGATATATTGCCAACGTTTTTGGTTAGGAAGTGAAAATGGAAGAAAATGACAATTTGGTCATATTCTTTTACCAACTACATATTTAAAATAAAATGTTACTGAAATAAGGAAAATTCTGTGTGAATATAGTATTACAAATAATTATATTTTTTTGAAGTATAAAAAAAGAATTATATTAATAGAGGAATCATTCTCCTTGAAACATTCCCCTCTTTTTGGAGAAATACATGTACCCCTCCAAATTCTTCTCAATTAATATATAATTAAAAACAAGAGATATTAGGAGATTAATGGGATATATATCAGAATACCACTGTTTAAACTTTTATGATCTATAGAGATGAGATATATACAGTTTTGGTTTTTATTTTTTATATTAATTTTCTCGAAATTATCCATTTCAAATTCATTGTATTGTACTCATGCAATTGAACATATTGCTCGATGGTAACTGGTAAGTGCATATGTATCTCCCTATTCGAGGAGTCTCAAAATCCTACTTCTGTTTAAAAAAAAAAATTTGTACATTTGTACTCACACTTAATAAGCAACAAGATTAATTGTTTCAAGTATTTAGAAAATTCTTTTGGCATATGATCAAGTTAATGATAAATTTATTTTTATTTAAAAAAAACATTTATGATATAAGTATTTCATTCGGATTTGCTGTTTAATTTATTTAATGATAATCTTGAGTTTACAATTCCAAAATAAAGATTTAGGTGGACTTTATCATTCCTTAATATTTCATTTTTTTAGGATTGGCAATAAAAATAAAAGTTAAACGATTATCTTTAAGGATACTCTCTGACAGCTTCACAATCTTCAATTTGAAGTTGGTAAATCAAAATTTCCAAGAAAGCTTTCGAATTTATATAGGTCATCGGCTTTGGGAAGAAAGAGAAAAAATAACACACACAAGGAAAGATAATTTTTTTCTTATATCATAAATTTCATTGTCTATTTCAATATGATATTGTTTCTATTTCAATATTAGAATTCCAAATCTCCAAGATAGACTTGAAACTCTAAGTCTCTAACCTCTCATGGAGAGCTACTAAACTATTATACTACGAGGCCATTAAAAAAAAAAAAAAAGCTGTTGTACTATATTTATTGTTATTTTGGTGTTTTTTTTTTTTTAATTTCGGCAATAATGAAATGGCTTTTTATATGTATGAAAAATGAATGAAAAAAGATAACCCGAAATCTTACAATTAAATGAGTCATTGAAGATTCAAAATGACTGTTTGAAATCTGTTATGAAATTCAATGAAGACCAGTCATTATTGTACATAGTATTATGTGAGAGATTTTTGGAATTTGGCATGTCAGTCCAAGATCCTACAAAATAAAGTCTTTTATTTTTCCATTTTTTTCCCAATTTTTTAGCTCTCTACCCAATTTATCTTCCTTTTCTTTGCCCTAATATTTTGATTAACACCATCACTTACTCCTTATCTCTCGTCATAATTTCTCTCTCAGTCTTCTTTGGTTTTTTTAATAGCGTTCTTTTCATCTTCCCTAAAACCAAATATATCTTTGCTTTTTCATCTTTCCTGAAACCAAATAAATCTTTACTTTTTTGTTGTTTTCTTTTGCTTTCTGTTTGATGGATGATCAAGCTGTTGATAAAGTGATTGAAAACATGGAAAAAGATCAGTCTGTTTCGATTGAAACATCAGATTTAGCACTTTCAAAACCAAACAAACTCTTTCTCAAGCTCAAGATCTCCAAGAAGCATATCTGCCCCGTTTGTAGCAAAGAGTTTACCTCAGGGAAGGCGTTGGGAGGTCATATAAGGATCCATATGAAGGGTAGCAAGAATGGTCGCCATAGAAAGATTTCCCAGCTTCAGCCGAGAAATATTCATCGTGCCAAGGCTAAGAAACGGATCTCCCAGAATATGGTCTTGCCAAAAGCTACGGATGGAGCTGTTGATGCTGTTGATCTGCCCTTGAATGATCAAGAAGTGAACGAGCAAGTCAGTTGCTGCATATGTAACAAGGGTTTCAGGTCAATGAAATCTTTGTTTGGGCACATGAGGAACCATCCCGAGAGGGGTTGGAGAGGGATCAGGCCACCTCCTTCTGACAAAAACAGCTGTTGTTCCAGTGTATCCGAAAACGATGAAGCTGTGGAAGTTGATCAGATTAATTGTGCAACAGAAAAAGGCTTAGCCTCAGGTTCTGATCTGTTAAAGTCTCTTCCGAAATGGACTAACACTGCCAAGCGATGCGGGAAACTCACCTTTGATGAGAATGAGGTTCCTGAGGCTGCCTATTGCCTTATGAAGCTAGCTCGAGGAGATTCCTTTGATTTGGGTCAGTCAAGCGTTGGATTCCAAAGAAAATATTCACCAACAGATAACCCGAAGACTATAGATAAAACTCGATCTTGGGGCTTGGCAAATAAAACTTCATCAGAGGACAAAAAACGGAGCAATATTGTTCTAGGTAAGAAAATGGGTGAGGGCAAAGGAAAGGCCAGGTTGAAAACTGAGTGGGATCAAGAGAAAGTTGCTTCGGAGTGTAAACAGGGAGATATATACTCTCCTGATAAAAAGAAAAAGAAGGGAAAGGTATTAGCGAAAGAGCTCAATTGCGATAAATTTATTGAAAGGAAAATGATGGTAGGGGAAAATAAGATGAAGCTGACTTGTGCAGATGATAGAATCATCGAAAATAATAGTTGGTTTGATCACTTTCAGAAGTTCCCGATGAAGCCTAATGAAGAAGAGGGTGATCCATTGACCATTGAAGCTGGTAGATACAGAGGCAGGATCTCCTACAGTAGCCAAACACCTTGTTTTTACCCTAAAAACCCAAGTGGAGGACTATTTGAAGCTCCGCTGAATGAAACAGAATCACCGGCGGAGGGCAAACACCTATATTCCAAAACACTATTCCCAAAAACAGCTAATCAGGCAGCTGAAGGCAGTCAGGTTTGTTCCCCCAAGATACTAGATTTTGATCTCAATGAACCTTATGCGGGTCTAGACGATGATGAAGCTACAGGAACTTAGATCAACTCAATCTGATTATGTAGCTCGTTAAGAACTACTAATTTCAGGGTTTCAGCTAGCGTTTGCTTTTTATAATTTTAGATCAGCTGTTGATGTGCTTATACTTATTTCCATCGAATCCTTTAGTTTTATTACTGAAATTTCTGTGTGAAACCCTTTGTCTATTGTTCTTGTTTGCATCATGTTATGGTTATCAACTAGGTGTTGCCATTTAACTTTATAGTCTGTTTCCTTTCAAGAGTGAAATAAAGTACTGAAATAATCTGTCTATACACTCTTGATGAAACTGTGATCATTGCTGCGAAACTTTGGCTTAAGTGAAATAATCTGTTCATATATTCTGTCGTAGTACTGATTGGAAGAATGTTCAATGATAACTAACTGAAAATAATTGATGAAACTGTGATCAGTATTGCTAAACTTTGGCATAATACATGCATTATTGGTGTCCTTCAATGGATTTATATCAGAAATTTAAAAAAGAAAAAAAGTTTTTTTGTCATAAATATTATTTGACTGATTCCCATTCTTTACTACTGTTAGTTCCCAACACATTTTGGAAAGGAGAAATTTGAACAAAAAAATGAATATATACAAAAGATTGATACATTTTCTTTATTTCCATTTGAATATTCAAAATTTTTGGGTCACATTTCTTTATCTTTTACTAATTTCTTGAATCAAATACAACTTGAAATGTTCTCCTTGCTTAATATTTTGTTGCATTTTTTCATGCCCTTTTTATAAACTAACTAATTAGGTGCTTTAGATTAATAACTTTGGGATCTTAATCCCCTTGATAATAAGGTATCATTCCGTTAAACATACATACATATATATATATATATATATAACGGAATGATCAACTTACAAGTGTAACTTTTTTTTAAATTTTTCATATTTTTTTAACATTTGATTTTAATGATTCCAAAGAATTAAAGAGATAAAGGAAAATAAAAAAAAATTTACATTGTATACGTTGATCCCTTCTCATGTCTATATTTATAAATATATATATAGACACACAAATTCAACCTAAAAAAAAAAAAAAAACTAATTAATTAAGAAATCTGCTGCTTTTGTTTCAAGTTTTCACTTTTCTCTTTCTTTTCATGTTGTGATATCAGACTCTTTTGCATCCTAAATTTACTTGCTAGATTTTATGATATATCGTAGTTTTCCCGTATCTTCTACCTTCTATATATGAAAGTATATATGTATTCTTTGTTTTTAAATTTGAAAGTTTAACACATATAACCTATTTAAATAAAAATAACAAAGCACGTAAGGTTTAAATATAAATTGTACAATATTGTTAAACGAAAAGCATGAAAAGTAAATATAATTTATTTTCAGTTTATATTTTTAAGAAATAATTAATATTTATTATATTTAGTTATAAACCTTAGCTTTCTGCTACTAACTCTGAGTGAATTATTATTTATAATATTTAATAAGATAGTTAAAATGATATATATATATATATATATAAATATGGATCTTATTATTAATAGATTTTTTTAAACTGAATTGATATATGAAAAATATAATAATCTGAATGCATGTCGAGTGCAACAAGTAAGATTTGAATATTTATTTTGGCTTTTATGATTTTTTTTTTGTAGGTGCCGTTTTGTCTAACATTTTTTTTTATTTTATTATTATTGTGATCATCAACAACTTTGAATAATTAAAAAGATGAAAAATTAGTTGATTATGTATTTCACTATTTATTCCATATAATATATATAAAATTTTGACGAAACATATACAAATAATATGTAATTTTGAGTTTACTTTAAACTAATATCAAACTCCTTTTTATCGGGAGAAACATCGGAATTTTTTTCGTTTTCTTAATTACATTAGTTGAAGAATATTTATTTTTGCATGCTAAAAAATTCAATGAGTCATCAAATGTGGTCATATCAAGTTAGCTAACACTTCTGTTACAAAACAATTATATGTCTTTTCGCATCTCAACTCATGAAACTATTAAATTTTAAAGAACATTAGATTATACAATAATGAGTAAATAGCACGTGTGATTTTTAAATTTTAGGTCAAATTTTATATTAATCTTTAAATTTTAAAAAGTTTTAATTGAATCTTCAATTATTTAAATATGTATCAATATAGATCCTCCATCTACTGAATCATATAAATTAACGAAATGACACAAATCTAGCGTGGCATGATATATCCTTACAAAATTGTATTATATGTAAGGTTAATATTATGTCTTTGATTTTAAGTATCTAGACCAAAGGATGAGTCAAACAATTGGAGAGACAAGCAACAAGCAATCAAAGATTGAAGCAATCAAGCACACATCAAGCAACACACAAGGGAAGCAATTCGGCAACAAACATTGAAGCAATTTAGCAGTAAATTCAATTAGACTCCATATAGAAAATTCATCAAATCCATACCCAAAAACCCATTAAAAATCATGATAAAAAAACCACCACCTAATCAATCCACAATCTCTAATTTAGCAAAAATCTACAACACTAGCAAGCAAACCCAAAATCATCCATACCACAGCCCACAAGTAACTACACTTGATATTGACCATTAGCTAAACTAATTTATAGAAAATCCAAAGTTTCAACCTAGAAAATAGAGCCCATTAAAATTAAACAAAACCCAAATGCAGAAAGAGAGGCATCGCAAAAGAAATGTCTAACAACAAAATTTTTTAAAGTTTAGTGGTTCTGTTAGGGTTTTCCAAATAGAAAAAAAAAAGAAACCAAATTCGCTAAGTTTTATGTCCAACATATAACAACAAACGAGCTTGCAATTGGTGCAATGTACAATTAATTTTATCTATTTAAATGTGTATATACATACAAAGTAATATTATTTATAAAGTTATATGAAAGTTTTCAATATTTATAATATAGATAGAATTTATATATATGTCATAATGTTTAAATTGGGAGAACTTATTCATTAGACATAAAAATTATTAAGTCGTCACTAATTTTTTTTATTTAGGTGTGATTGACTAGCTATATGAATTTATCCTTTTTAATGTTGTCATAAACCTAAGCTAAGGGTTCCTAAAAAGAATATGTTCTGTTTGTATCATCAAAACTAAGGTTTAGTTATGTGCAAAAAAGGTATTAGCACCCATTTATACCCAAAATCGGTACTTAATTAATTATGTGTTATATGATTTAAGCCTTATCAAATATGATTTTATAAACCAATTCCAATCCTTTTATTTATTTATAAAATATGGTGATACAAAGATTCTATCAAAAATATCAAATAATCACACAATCATCCAATAAATATTAAATTATACATTGCAAAAATTATCACGTAAATATATTATAAATCATATCAAATATCATGTAATAATATCATGCCTAAATCATGCTAAAATATTCATATAAAAATGTCATGCAAATATATTAATTATCATACAATAATAATAATCATGTAAATATATAATATCATGAAAATATATTATAATGCAATAATATAAATAACTATTTATGCAAATATATAATCATGAAATCAAATATAATCACACAAATATATTAGTAATTATGTATAATCATACAATTATACATACAATAAATATAGAAACATGCAACTAAATATCATTCAAATATAATATTAATCATGCGATAACATATAATATCATACTGGGCAATAAATATAAACTTATGTAATAATAATAATAATAATAATAATAAATAACTATACAAATAAATATATTAATAATCATACAATCACACAAATAAATTAATTAATAATCATGTAATTATAATGTAAATCATGCAAATAAATATGCAATTAAATATATAATCATACAAATAAATGTACAATTAAATATATAATCATGCAATCACACAAATAAATAAATTGATAGTCATGCAAATAAATTACTAATCATACAAATAAATTAATAATCACGCAAACATATTAATAGTCATGCAAATTCATGCAAAAATAAATACCATGTAATAAATATAAAAATAAGAGTAAGTAATTAAATACTATAAAAGTTATGCCAAAATCACAAAAAAAAAAAAGCAAACATTACCTTAATGAATCATGAGTTCCAACAATTTTTTACTTTTTAAAAATTAATGTTTTCTACAATAAATCTTAACCTTCTTTCCAAAAACTTCAATTAGATCTTCTTGCAAAATTTCTTTACTTGATTGCTTCTTCCTTGTTGATTCAAAATTTCGTTGTTGATTGTAAATTTATCTCTGTTTTCAATGACCTATATTTGATCTTAAAGTCAATTACAATAAGGGTCTCCCTCTTATCTTAGATTCAAGGTCCTTATATAAGGATTGAATCCTTTTCGATTTGAAAGAAATTAATTCAAACGAATCTAGGATTTTTTTTAAATTTTATTCTTTATGTAATCTTTCTTTTTTCAATAGATTTAACCCTAAGTCTTTCCAAAATTATTCAACCATTAAAGTTAAAATCTGATATAAAATCTAAGAGTTGAATTGAATCCAAGATTTTTCATGCAAAATCTCACATTTTTTTCTTTTTTATTTTTAGCTTTTTTTATTTTTTTTACCAATTGAATTTGACTCTTTTGACTACAAAAACAAAAATAAACCAAAAATTAAACTAAAAAGTTAAAATACAAATAAAATTTAAGGCACACAATTCACTTTTCCAATTAAGACCCAATTGCACAATCAAAATCAAAATTTGAAGCCTAATGAATTTCAAAAAATACCCGAACAAAATGAAGTATCTACAGTTGGCCCCTCTTTGTATATTTTTTGTGAAATAGGAATTGTACAAATACAAAAAACATCTATTTTATTCGAGCAAAAAAAAGTCAAAAAAGAAAATTGTAAAGGCTTCTCCTTGACAGAGGCGTTGAAACTTTTGGAAAATAAAATGCTCTCCCACAACTAAAACTTTGAAACTTTGAAAAGATAAAATGCTCCCTACAATTGAGGATTTGAGACTTTTAAAAAATAAAATGCCCCTCACAAGTAAAGTTTTGA